AACACACTTCAGGGAAGTGAGACTCCTTACATGGGTGGCTGTCACCTGCTTTTCAACAAATTTCAAAGTGTTGCCTACAGCATCCTGTTGTATTAGATGAAATGCATCCTGACACCTTTCTCACTGTATTACGCTCGACCACTCAAATACTGAGACGCAAACCTCCCTCTCTGTTTTTTAAAAAAGAAAACACTTCCCAGTAACTGCCAGAGGTCAGATCTTGGTGTTTGGCAGCAGATCCTGCCTGCCCAGTCCTAGAGATGCCAGTGGTTGCCAACTGCACCCTGTTTGAAAAGTCCTTCCCTGATGCCCTGACCACTAGCACAGATATTCCATGCACAGGTGAGCTCAGGGGCTGCTGCCGGCTGTTTCCCAGTCACCTCTCCTAGTGCCACCCACCACCACAGCTGAGCCATGCTGCAATCAGCTCACCTGGTCCTTAGTGCCAGGAAGGGACATCTTCCCAACTTGCAGCCCAACACCCTGCAGCTGTAACCATCAAATTCAAACCAAGTTCTCCCCCACCACTATAATGCATGCCCACCCTCTGCTGACCAGTGCTCAGCCAGTTCCAGTCATCTCAGCAGAAACAACACAAGCAACTTCATTAGGGAGGATCCGACCAACCACACGTACAGGGAAGAACTGGATAACCAGAAAATAGTTTTCTTCCTCTTTCTGAATCCAAAATCTGAATTAGGAGGGTTAGAAAAGCTGTATTTATCTTTTGCAGAGTCTGCAGAGAGCACAAGCAAGTAGATTTCCAGTACTTCCACCACACGTTACTAAAGCACACCACAGGTAGACGTGTCAGAAAATCACCTTCCCCACTACACATACCATATGTTTATGAAGACACAAGTTACACATATTTTATCCTAGCGTGGGATCTGACACGACACTGTCAAACAAAGCTCACTGAGTTTGTCACTCAAGCAACGACATTCTTGTCATATTTATCCTTAACCACTCCTGCAGACACTGCTACCAGTACAGATTATCTTTGGTACACAAGATGCTGTTACTGTAATTAGCCAAAGATAGGCAGGGAATATACAAAGCCATGAACCTGTACTTCAGCCTGGACACACCAATATGCAGTTACCACTGGGAAAAATGGTAGCCCAGCTACCCCTGGGTTTCTCTCTCCGGTGCTCTGCACTTGTGGGTGTGTATCCATCCCTGTGAACCTCCATTTTGATCCTGTGCCAGTTTTCACAGGTGTGAAACCATGACAAAGTGCAATACAATGGAAAACACCAGACTCCTCTCTCATGAAGATCATCTGGACCATATTTTCAGTTGGTGTAAGACAGCATTAACACCTCTGGCATCACTGGAAAGATGCCAAATTTGCACCACTGAAGAACTTCGGCCCTCTGGGTGCCCTTGAACACCACCCCATGCTGGCTGTCACAACCCAGCACCAACTGCACATGGATGCTTTGTCCTAAGGGAGGCTGTTTTACACACTCTTTGGCCTTTGGAGAGGGAAATTCCACATTCCTTTTCTGAATTCCCTGAGAAACCACGGGGAAAGCTTAAGGCTAGTCAAGTAGGGGACTAGAAGAGCTTCCCAAATTTTGACCAATTTCTGCAGGGATTCTTCCTGCCTTCAGTGGGATGTCATCATTCCAGCGCTCCTCAATCTGCAGCTATCTCAGAAGCACTGGTACAAATAAGCAACTGTGGTTCAGGAAGCTCTACATCAGTCTGCAGCTGGTCTCATCAGCATCCTTCTGAGAAATTCACCTCTGCTATTCTTTCCAAATTGTTCCTCCATCACAATAAAACACCTATTGACTCTGGGGTGGAGTGACCCCATGGCTCACACGCTCTTTTAAGCAGACATGCCAGCCTACCTGCAATCCCACTGAAATGAAAATAAATCATCTCAGACCAGAGTCCAAATAACGCCTCTCACTTGATCATTAATTTTTGCTTATCCTCTTAACCCTTTTCACTGTTAACAGTGAACAAATCCTAGAAAGAGAAATGGTTCCTCAGTACAAAGGTGATGAAAAAGCAAAAATTGAACCACATGGTTTTATACCATCACTCCAAGTCAAATGCCAACACACCTGAATCACACAAACACCCTGAGCGCTCTGTAAGTCACTGGTGAGGATTTTATTGATCTGTTGTTCAAAGCACATCCTCCTTGTTTATCAGTCCCTTTCAATATTCATTGCAGCACAGAAACCAGTTCTGGGGACTCAATTCCTGTCCTGCATCGTGCAGCCTCCTTGCCCTACACTGACGTAGCTGTTTCTTGGCTCCTGGGGATGTGTAAACAAGAGGCCATGGTCCATCGGCGCAGGTAAGAGTGTACCCTCAGGCTCTTCCATGAGTTTTGTCTCTCAGACAAAAGCTGTTCCTGGGAATTCCCAGTAAGCAGGCACAAGGCAAAACCCTGAACCTCGCTGACATCTGGTCGACCGCATTGAAATGCCCTTTGACAGAACAAACCCAGTTCTGGTGGCTGAACTGAACCTGGGGAAGTTCCTCTGCCATTGTTAATCGTGTCCCCAGCACCCCCACAGAGCAGATGACAGGTACCCCAGACACTTTCAGGTCCTGCTGAATGGCATTTAATGCACAAGACATCGGATCTGCCACTGAAAGCAGCACTAAGTGGCTTGATCAGAAATGACATCTGAGCCAAATGAGCTAATTAGTTTACAGGATTTTCCCTTTCTCTCCCTACAACAGGAGTGGATCGGTGTTTTCCCCTCAGCTCTGACCTCACTGCAGGGCGCCATCCTATTGTTGGACCCGTAGCTAGCATTCATAAAAAATATGAACTGCATGTGTTGGCAGTTCCGTCAAAGCCGGCACACACGCTGCCGACACACTGTCAGCTCTTTGTCAGGAGCAACACAGCATCCCAGATATCAAAACCAGTCAGAACAACAACAGCTTCCACTGAAGTAGGGAACCAGCACTGGAAAACCAGGACAGGACAAGCCTGAGGTTCGCTGAAGTTCACAAACTGAGGGCCTCTTTGGGTTCATTTCTGCTTTCTCTGTGGGGGTGGCTGGGAGCTCCAACAACCCCAGGGATGTCATAGTTGCCATTTTCAGTAAACCCATCACATCTACTCTTACAGCCATCTTGAAAGCTTTAAGTGAAAACAAAGTACCCACTCTACTCCCAGATCTTCAGGGCTCCCCTCACATGCCCAGACTCGTTCCTGGGGAGCACCGCAGTCACCAGCCCCTGGAACGCCGAGCACCACTGACTGTGTGTTCCTCAAATCCACAGGAAAACACCCATCTTGTGGAGCAGCAGTGACACCATTGGCTAAATACAAGAAGTGCAGTGGCTACTAGTTCCAGACAAGGTTCCAGTATTTTCACTGGCAAAGCCACAGGGGCACAGACCCAGTGAAAGGCCAGTGACCTGGGAGGCTGGATCACTGAATAATGGTGCACCAATCTCCAGGTTCCAGCTAACAGCTCCAGACTGCCAGCCGCTGAAGCGACTCAGGCCAGAATTTGCCAGAACCGACATCACATATGGAGCGTTAACTTTAACCCAAGCTTGGAGACTGGTCTGTAAGTAATTCCCTTGAACACAACATTAAAGCTGCACCAGGTTTAAAATTCACGTATGAGGGGTTTATGCTGCAGCTAGACAGAAACACTCCTTAACATGCTCTAGCAGGTCTTCAAACATCCCAACAGCAGCTCTTCTGTTACCACTGCCAAAGCCAGAGGTAACATCCCTGTGGCACCTGTGGCCCATTACTCTGTGCCTCCAGGAGAATCACCAAAGCCACCATCACCAGAAGAACAACATAAGCTCCACCAGGGAGCCACACAGAGCTGCCCACTGTCATGCTTGCACTGTCTGGGACCATTCTGGAACACTTCCCACACCCTGTCTGCATTGCTGTTTCCAGCGGTCCCCTCAGCACATCAGCTGAGCTGCCTGGAAGCATTCAGGTCGGCTGCAAACGGATTTGAGGGGCAGGCCTTCATTACAGCGACAGTTTTAACTAATTAGAACTGATTTATGCAATTAAATATCCAATATCAAGCCATTTAATATGTGATTTATACAAGTCCAGGTTCTATCAGGTCTTGAAAGATCTGTTAACCTAGATAGGACAGAGCACACTCATGCACCCATTCCTGCAAAAGAGCCAAACAGTACATGGAACCAGTGGAATGATGGAAGTGAAGAGATTTGATAATGTGCACGAACATAAAACCAAGTTATCTCACTCCACAAACACCAACTACAGCTTATTCACAGATTTGTGGGCTCTTTTCAAAACAGGTAACTGGCATAATTTCTCCAAGCCCCTTTCTCCCCATATTGTCCCTGTAGCAGATAAGGAGCGCAGCAGACGAGCCTCTGCACTTGGGCTCTGAGCACATGGGGCTCAGCTCTGCCTGCACTAGCGACACATGGGGTGGCTCTGAGTGATTCTCATCACAGCCAGCACCTCTGAAATGGCTGCCATGGTATTTCTATCCCCTCAAAAATCCTCCAGGAGCACTGATGAAAAGAGGAGCACTTGAGAAAAACAGGTGCATCTTGCAGAGAAACTAATTTACTGGAGCACAGCAAAACCAGAAAAACCCAAACCTACGTCCTACAGCTTACACCAGGCTGGAGCAAGGGAACTCAACAGCTCCTCGGGTTCAGGACCAGTCTTAGTTCACACAGAAGGGCTCCTCCAGGCACTCTGCTCATCGACATCATTCTCACTGCCTCTCATCTGCCTCTGGCAGTGGAGAGGCGTCTCCTCCGCCCTCAGTCTCCTGCATGGAGCACTGTTCCTTTACTGCTGTTCCCACGTTGGGTGGCTCCAACTGAACAGGATAAGGTAGCCGAGGGCTCCTTCTTCCTCAGCCTTTCCTGTCTCGCTCAGAGGTTCCATAGGTAGGACTGAGCAGAGCACTCTGCACGTGACAGCATATGTCACCTGCTCCCCTCTGTGACTGTGCACGAGACACACCCTCCTCTAGGAAAGGGTTGGGGAACCCACACATGAGAAGTCATCACTGAAAGAGGAGCCTTCCATCTTTTTCTGCCTGCAGGAAGACAAACCTTTATATTGAAATCAGGGGTGGGAAGGAACCTGAGAGCTCCACTCCGCAGGTTCTGCCTGGGATGACTGGGGCAGAGACACAGGATGGTGTCACAGAGAGCTTTCTGAAGGAAGCTGCTCTCTGCTTGCCACTAACATGGTTTTTATTTCTCTTCCACCCTCACTTTCCATATGCATCCAGGCTACCATGCCCTGAGTTTTTTCAGCTGTTATTTTCTGAGGAACACTGAGCCAGCCCAGTGAGAGGCGGGTGACAAGGCTCCACGTGCACCCAGTCCAACAGTGCAAATACAAGGGCTGGAAGGAGGCTCAAGACTGGATGCTTCCCAGTTAACCCACAGGCAAGGCTGAGGAGACTGTGTCTTGCTATCCCCAGGAGGAAGTAGGGGAACCAGGCACACAAGGAGACTGAAGAGATCCCAATGTACCCTTAATCTATAAATATTTAAGCAGTCCCTCCTCCCCCTCTCCTCAACAACATATGCCAGTGTCTCCTTCAGCTTATAAAAGCCAATTCCCTCCTGCTGTTCCCGAGCACCAGGAATCTCCGAGTGGTGATTAGTGGATTACGTGCATCCCAGGGCCTGCCTCCAATCACTTTCCCCTGCAAATTGCTCAGCCCCGATGCAGCAGCACAGAGCAAAGTGGGCTCTGTCGCCAGGGCCTGGTCCTCATTATGGCCAGGAGACGGCAGGAGTTTGTTTACACGGCTGGAACATCATCCTCCCGGGCAGCTCATCAGCCTTTCCCCAGGGTTTCTGCTCACTGAATGCTTCGAAGTAATCACCACCAGCTACCTACACCCCGAGCAGCATCTCAGCAATTCACCAAGTCAACTGACAACAGCTTGAGGTAATATTAGCCCCCTTACAGGAAGGCAAGTGCTCTCCACACAAGGATGCTGGAGCTTAGCACCACTCAATAAATCAGAGCAGCATCCTGGAAAGCCTGCCATTAGTTCTGAGCCATTAATTTTTGCTGGGTCTTTGACACGACTGTTTGAGAGCACTATAACCTGCTCTCTCAAAGTTAAATTATAAAGAGCAACTTCCCTGAAGGTGCTAGTCTAGTAACCCATTTAAGTCCTTGGCTAAACACCTCCAATAAATCACTGGGGAGCTGCAAGGCAAGAGGTTTCTACTGCACAATATGTGAGAGTGAGCCGTTCCCTCTCAAAACAAACCCCAGCTTGGGGCACCTCTGGCCCCAAGCAATACCTTTACAAGATACTCAACATCGTGCCGCAGCAGCCGGGTTAAAGCAGACACTTCACCGCACCGAGTTCCACTTAATGACATCTTCATCTCAAGTCCTTTGCACTAATTCTCCTCTCAATGATTAAACACCGAAGAGATTTATAAATAGCAGAGAGCAGGTAAGCCCAAAAATTTCCAGTCCTGTTCCCACTGCACCCCTGGAGACACAACTGTGTTCTCTGAGAGGCCCTGTAAGTCTGTCTACACTTCCTAACCATTCCCAACACTGAACAAGGATGTAAACAAGTAAAAAAGGAGTTGTTTTGCAACCAACTCATGACACACTCGATTCCAACCTGAGAAGCCTTCAGCTAAGGGTCTAAGGTGAGAACCCCCAGCTGGGACACTGAGAAGCCTTCAGCTAAGGGTCTAAGGTGAGAACCCCCAGCTGGGACATGCCCAGTCTCCTGTCGCTGCAAAGTTGGGAGCACTTGCATCACACCTGCTTCCTGCCCACAGCACGGCTGCCAGCGCTGCGCACAGCTCTCAGCCCTGCATGCTTCTGGACAAGGCTGGAATGGGAAATCCTAGTTAAAGGCGCGCTGCGCACAGCTCTCAGCCCTGCATGCTTCTGGACAAGGCTGGAATGGGAAATCCTAGTTAAAGGCACAGAAGGAAAAAGGCCTCCAAGACAACTAATAATCAGTCCTGCAATAGTTTCAAGCTGCATTTTAACTGGACGAGGCAACAATGTAGCTCTGACTCCATTCCCACTGAAAAGCGTGCTCCAGGTAAACAAGTCCCACGCATTCATAAAGATGGGGAGCCAGCAACCTCCTTCTACATGGCACAATACGCTATAGAGAGGAGGTAATGAAACGGTGCTAAAAAGTAAATACTTGACAAAATCTGGTTCCTTACATCTCTCCATGGTGGAGATGATGGGTGCAGTCCCACTGCTGAGACCATGGAGGTACCGTTTCCAGGCTCACCTACACTCACAGCCATCACTGAGGAGAAAACAGTGGCTGTATCCTCAGATTTGTGGTTTTTTTTAATCATCTTTCTCTCCTGCAGACCAGTCTGTTTTCAAATCCACTGATCTGAGCCAAGAGAAAACATTATCTCCATTAATATCGCACCAGTCTACACTTATGCACTAATACAGAGTGAAAATCATTTCTTGAACAATGGAACTTGCAGCCATTACTTTACTGGGTCAAACATGTTTACATGTTTAGATCCATGCCTCTGACTTTTCCAACAGAAAATACATCTTCTTATTCATCCTCTTCTCTGTGTTATCTCTATCTCCTGTGCCCCCATGCTCTATCAGCACGTTTACAGCTACAGTCAGCTTGCCATCTATAAATAAGACCCCTAATTTCATTAGCCAATTAATAAAGTAAGGAAGCAGGGCTTCTTTGTACTCATCAGACTCTCATTACCACTCAGTGCTGCCCGTGCTCAGCAGTCAGAGCGCTGATGTGGTGAATCAAAGGAATGTCTGTGGAACAGGTAGGATCTCACACAGAGCACAGAAACACGGGGAGGTGTTGCTCCTGCTCTCAGAGCATTTATCAGAGGCCAGCAGTAAAGATCACCACTTCCAAAGGATCAGACATGCTAGTGACTGACACCTTGGACACAGGAAGACAGTAACTCAGCCTAAGCCACTGTCTGAGGCCCCAGAGGTTCTCTTTGGAGATGGGATATAAGAGATAGCCGAATATTCAGACATGACAACAGCTCCTGGCTGACACCTCCAGCTATCTTTGCACTCACACCTTCATATGACAGTTTGTTTTAGACCTCACACCTTGATTCAATACGATGGCTCATTTTAGACAAGACAGTAAAGAAAAAACATTCAGCACAAACATTGCATACGAAACCTGCTCAGCACCACAGAGAGCTAGAGTGGCCACAAGCTGAGCCTAGAACATAAAAGTGCTCGATAACTCATCTCAGAAAGCTCCTTTAAGACAAGAATATACGTCAGACTGTTTTTATGACTATTATTATTTGCAGGCTTAACTAAATTGTCATTTAAATAACATATTGAAAGGTAAACCGCCACCTGCTCCTGCCAGATGTTCTGAAATCTTTAGCACCACTTCAAGCACGCCGCAGTACTGAAGGAAGCACAGGACTGAATCTCAAAGGTATTTATCTCCCCCGTCTCCTACTGGGCTTTAAGGAGATTTCTATTATGCAGACTCATCATCAAAATAATAAGGACTGTGCTCCAATTAGTTATGCAAATGAGCACACACACACTACAGCACACTGCGCTTACTCCAAGGACCCGATTGTGTATGACCACATCCCCATACGTATGGCAATGATTCCTTGCAATTCCATTTCCACTCCATAGCAGGAGGTGTCTTCAAAGGGCTTTGTTTGGGCTCTGGCAATGTTTTGGGAAAGGAATGGAAACATTCTTGTCCTTTACAACACCGCACCCCACCAAGGGGCACATCCCCGGAAGCTGACTGGGCATGTCTGGCAGTGGCACGCTGCAAGCTGCGCACGGACATTTTATGTACAAAAACTTGCCAAACCGTAAAGTCCAGCAAACCCTTTTGTGCAAATAGCACTGGCTTCTGGAGGCACTTCAAGCACCAAATAACCTGACCCCTGCAGCCGGCAGGGAACAGCCATCAGAGGGGCCCCAAAGTCCCTATTTTATTTTATTTTTACAAGATGCCATCAGCTGAGAGGAGCTGACTTCCCTGCCCGCTTCAAACAGGTGGGATCCCTGTGCAGGGAGAGGCATGTCTGTACATCAGAAAGGAAAAGACAAGTAGGGACAACACCAAGCAAGCCAGGGAAGAGAAGCCTGGAATGCATCACGAAGCAGGGGTGCCCGTGACCCTACAGACACAGCCTTTTCCCAGTCCCCGTGCCACGCTCAAATGCCTGTACGGCCTGACAGGGGACTCTGCCCTCTGTCCCTGGGAACCGATAGCCCCTCCTGGAGCCCCTGCAGGGCTGTCAGCCTCTGTGGGTCCCATCAGCACTGTGATGAAAGGCAAAAAGCTCCGGGCACTCCGGAGTTCTGGTCCCTCCCTCCTCCTGTGCCCTCAGGCTGCCTGTGGAGCCCATCTGCCTCGGCGTCCAGAGCCGGAGAGGTCCGTCAGGTACAAAACGAAGGAGCTAAACTAGAAAGGCCTGTCAGAACACACAAAGGCTGTCAATAGCTATGGCTTTTTCCCCTCAAGTGACATTTTACTTCTAAAATGAACTGTCAGCAGCCAAACATTCTGCCAAGTCCATAATTTCACTCTACTCCAGGCAACTCAGTTTCACAACACGAACAGTTTCCTGTTTAGGGGTTTCAAGAGAGGCAGAACGGCCTTTCAAGAAGGGTCACAACATGGATTACTGAGTAGAACAAAGATATTTAAGTCTACTTTTCAGGTCTTGCTTCCTCTCCGAAAACTTACATTGGTTACTTGTTCTACCAAGATCTGAAGCCAGGAAAAACCGAGACCCCCTTTTAATGGAAAACTTGCACCTGCAAGCAGAAAATTGTTCCAGCTTCCAGACACGGTCTCTTACCACACGGTCTTTTTATTGCAGGTTTATGTCTCTACCGAAGAGCTTTTTATTATCCAAGCCCCAGAGCCCCTGGCTGTTATTCCAATGTCTCCTCAGCTTTCTCCCTCCCTCATTTCAACATAGCGACCATGCTGCTCCCCCAGAAGAGAGCTAATCCAATTTCTCCATCTTTTCCACAGTCTTCATCACATTCTCATAAGTTCCACTTGACTGACAGAACAGGCAGCCCCAGGACCAATCACAGCCTTGAAACAGGCAGTCCCGAGCCCTCAGGTGCATGAAAGCACTCAGCCCTCTCACTGTTCACTCCTTAGTGCTGTTGAATTGCTGCAGGAGCACCTTCAGCAACGCCTCTCCTGCTCCAGACACCTCTGTGCCCTCACTGAGCACCACAGTGCATTTTCTTCCATGCCAGTAAAAGGAAACTGCAAGGTGCAACGGTGTAGGACTAAAGCTGCTCTTGCAGGGTATCAGTACAATCACACATGCCCAATCAACACCGAAAACCTGGCTGTAGATGTATTTCAAGACTTAGCCGTTAGCAAGTCTTTAATCTGGAAATGTGTGATAACTTTGGATCATTTCAGTTTCTTAATCAAAATTTCATTGGGTACCAAGAGAAGTCTATCAGCCAAATCCATAATCTCATCAAAAAAGATATCAAGTTCATTTGACAGGATCTCTTTTCCATACGGCCAGGTTGATTGACATTAATTATATCCCATGCTTGTTCCTCCCCCCCAGCCTGCCTGTGTGTGGGTGTTGCTTGCCTTTCCAGGCTTCAATCCTCATCTTTTATAAATGAGCACACCCCTCAGTCCGTCACGGGGGGCTGTGAGGACCAGTCCATCAGCGCTTACAGTCCCAGGAGCCCTGGGAAATGCAGGCAGTGACAGCGAGGGAACAGGCTGCAGCCAGCACCGCCAGCTAACACAGGGCCCCACTCCCAAACACCCAACAAATCCACTGATCCAAAACCAGCTTCCCAAGGACTGAAGCAGACATGGGAGTGGACTTCAGGACTCACTGCAATAGACCTGAGTCATGACTCCTCCTGTTTTCCAGGCTTTTCATTCCCTTCCTTCCATCAGATTTCTAGCTTCTCCTTTTCAACCATCTTGTGTGCTTGCCTGGCAGTCAGAAAACAGGGGTAGATCCAGGCAGAGCAGATGAAAAGGCAGAGGCAGGAGAGGAGCTCC